ATAGAAGTCGATTTCATTCTTTCAAAGAAGGTTCTTGCTCTTGCAGAGATTATTGGTGAGTGATGATTGATGGTCTGATCAAATTGGTAACACTCCCGTTTTCAGGGAAAACAACATTGACTGTCAATAAAAGACCCACACTATGGATGCTATGGAATGCTCCATTCTGACCATTGCAATGAAAGACTATGGAAAAGAAGCAGTCAAACATGTATGTCAACCAATAGACTTGGAAAAGGCTAACACATCATGGAATTTTTGCTCCTTCCAGCTCTTCAGGTCTGCTATAAGGATTCTGCTTATTTAATAACTGAGGTGTAATGGCACTGAGATTGCGGTGCATTTATTTGATTTTTGCTTTATGCAGCATGTCTGTTCACTTCCAGAGCCACATCTTTTATTGCTGAACATGCTAGTCTTATTAATCAGGTCGCAGATGCAAATGAAAATAGTGTGAGGGAGACTACTTAATCGTACGGCATTGTCGATAGTATTAGATTGGTATGCAGTACATTTTTATGAGTGAAAGACATAAATGTCTGTCTTCAAACTGCAAAGTTCAGGAAATTATGGCTAAAACCAAAATGTGTCACAGGTTTATAATTTTTTCTTTGCAAAATATTCTTGTTTGCATACCCGAGATTACTGCTGCTTATATTCCTTCTATTTGTATTGAGGAATTGAATGCCAAGACATATATTGCAATAGGAGTTCTGGGACCAGGAACAAAAGAAACATAGTTCGGAAACAGTCCATAAGTATAATTTTCTGAATAAAAATTTAAAAGACAAATTTCGGCCAATTAGCAAGTACATTTTCACTTTCTTTTATCTTTTACTATAACATAAAGACCAAAATAGGAAATTCTTGTTCCTTTCTTCCCATTTGACTTATGATTCTTGTGCCATTAACAATATAACTGCAGTCATGATCCATCCCCTCCCTCTTCTCTTGTCACAGGTAATTTAACCAATTTGTCAGTGCCTGAAGTTTCATAGAAGCTTAGCAATGATCTATAATGATGTATCATTGTTTTGGATTGCTAGATTCTAAAGTTCAAATTCCTAAATGGTTTTTATATGCTTCTCTTCTAAATCAAGCACAGCATTACACCTCTTGGTTTTTCCCTTGGAAAGTTTCTTTTGAAGTTTGTCCAAAGGTTGTGCCTTGTTCTGCTGGTAATTTTGTCCTCTTTTTCTGCAATGTATCTGTTGTTAATTGGCTCACTTTATGCCACTTCTGCACTAGATTATGCTTGTTCAAATTCGTTGATAGCTTCAAAGCGCTCCATTTCTATTGGGGGTGTAGGAGTGCGCTTTGCTAATACTTTCAAACAAATGAATCAGATGAGAGATGATATACTGCTGCTATAGAAGCAGTTCGTGTTGCAGAGAAGGGCTTGCTAAGCCTGCTGCTGCTTGCTCCCACCTAGGCTGCTCCACCTCTGACCTCCTATTGGTTTTGGAAGATATCCTAATAGGGAAGCAAGGTGAGCCTAGATCTTTCCCGACCTTGCTCCTTCCCAATTCATGTTCAACAGAAATCTCAACAGTTAGCTCTGTGATACCTGCTGGCCTAAGATCAACATAGATAATAAAAGGACAACACAATTGTGAAGTGTCTGAACTAGTCTATGTTCAATCACTTTTTATTCTTGTCGAATTGAAGTAGGATTCTGCTGCATATTATCCATTGGGTAAAATATGTGTTTTGACTGCTAGAACATCCAACTTCCGATTGCAAATTTTCATATTGAATAGAATTTTCTCCACATTTGCAAATGCTATTAACCATTTTGTTTGATCGATTTTGTGTTATTGCAGGTACGGTCTGCTAAGGGGGGACACTAAGGGACCAACTACTCTCCTGCTGTGGCTGGTGAAACTCATTGAAGAGCCATCAATCATGGTAATTGTGTGCCCCCGCGATTCATTCTTTCCCACATACTAGATCCTTACAACTTTTGAGGTCTTTAGGTTAAGATCCCCTATAATTTAAAGCCATCTTGTGAGTCAAGGAGATCTTCTCTACAATAGGTAGTCCTTTAACAAAAGCTTAATAGTTATTGAGGAGTACTGAGATTCAAAGAGCTAGGCAAAGTGTCTGTTTGTGAGCGAGGGAAGTGAAACACAGTAAGGGAGAGGGATAAACTTTTTTTTGTATCACTGAAATTGTACGTTGAACCCTCTTCGTCTTAGTGTCTTAAGAACCTGACTAGGAGCAAAGAAGACCGGGATAAAAGAGATTTCACTTTCGGCGATTCAATTGGAATTTTCTATCCAGATACTTAAATGTCTTTGTTTGGATGATATAAAGTAGTATATGTTAGCAATGAGAAGGAAATTGTGACTCGCAATATCACTGAGAGCAGCTATGCACTTATAGAGCGGGTAGTTGGTTGCCTGTGTTCTTGCTGATTTCTTGACTGGTTTACTTGACCCAGTAAAATGGGATTTGTCCAATTTTTGTCGAGGTGAATAGTTGGATACTGGTCCTTATTCTGGAAACTGTAGGTTCTCGAAAGTGGTCAAAAGCAGAAATAAAAGCTCTCAGGGAGACCAATGGGGTGATCAACTATGTTGAAATCCCTGGTGCTGCTCTCTTTCCCCAAGAGGATGATCCTGACTCCTGAGATAGGTGCAGATCAGCTCTTCAGTTTCTACAAGAGAAATTTGAGCTATAATCCTACAATGGTTGTCAGCTCCAAGTCCTTAACACAGGACTGATGAAGAGGTCAGTGGCTTACATGATAGTTCTGTTGATCTTGAGCAACGTGCAAAGACATATCTCTATTATTGAAGTTCTACCTCTTTAAATCCTTCCTAAGATAAGAGGAAGTTGAGTATGAAAACCATTGTAAGACTTGGTACTTATTTAATCTCCAATTGCAGCCCCTTAGTCCACATCAGAGATGCACTATACTTTTGTAACTTTGCAGGGATTTTGTGAGGTAATAAGTATTCTATTTGACCTTTAGGGGCTTAATATAATGAAGTGTCTCCCGTATGATCCTTCAGTTGATCAGCTCCACTAGCACTGAAAAATTATGTTAGATTTGGCTAGCAACACGGAGAAACTGTTTGCAGATAGTAAGCCTTCTTGATATCATGTGCAGTGAGTTGATTACAAGCATTTCTTGCTATCATATGTTATATTTGTCTTTTTTCTTATTATACCCTTACCGCTTTCTGATTTAGTTCCTGAAGAACTAATTTGCACCACTGATATTAAGCTGGTTAGTATCCGTGTCGTTGGCAGAAGTTGCATTCATTAACAGTGCTTGAATCAATAAAGCACAATGATTTATGAATACATGTCGAAAGATGAGGTTTCAATCAAGATATTTAGAACGTAGTCAATGGAAACTTCAGAGCAATTTTTATGGGGCTGGGATCAATCAACAACAACAACAACGGCCCAATGTAATCCCACTAGTGGGGTCTGAGGAGGGTAATGTGTACGCAGACCTTACCCCTACCCCGAGGGGCAGAGAGGCTGTTTCCAGGAGACCCTCGGCTCAAGAGGACGACAAGTGACGATATATTAGTACCATCAGTAGAGTCATAATAAAATAACAACAATATAGGAAATACGAAATAGATGGAAAGTACAATAATAATCAGTAGATAACCACTAACATCCTAAAACTAAATCCTAACTGTCTAGTCCTACTCGGGTGCGCCGTAGAAATATTTGCAACTTCCTCCTAACTTACAACCTTAATGCTCGACCTCTACAATACCCTGTCAAGGGCTATGTCCTTAGTAATCCTAAGTTGCACCATGTCCTGCCTGATCACCTCTCCCCAATATTTCTTGGGCCGCCCTCTACCTCTCCTCGTGCCCACCATAGCCAGTCGCTCACACCTCCTCACAGGTGCATCAGTGTTCCTTCTCTGAATGTGCCCGAACCACTTGAGTCTTGCTTCCCGCATCTTGTCCTCCATGGGGGCCACGCCCACATTCTCCCGAATATCTTCATTTCTAATCCTATCCATCTTAGTATGCCCGCACATCCACCTTAACATCCTCATTTCTGCTACTTTCATCTTCTGGATGTGTGAGTTCTTAACTGGCCAACACTCAGTCCCGTACAACATGGCAGGCCTAACCACTACTCTATAAAACTTACCTTTTAGCAATAGTAGCACTTTCTTGTCATACAAGACTCCTGATGCTAACCTCCATTTCATCCACCCCACTCCTATACGATGTGTGACATCCTCGTCGATCTCCCCAATCCCCTGAATAATCGACCCAAGATACTTGAAACTACCCTACTTGGGAATGACTTGAGAGTCAAGCCTCACGTCCACTCCCACTTCCGTCGGTTCGACGCTGAACTTGCACTCTAAGTATTCCATCTTAGTCCTGCTCAACTTGAAACCCTTAGACTCAAGGGCCTGTCTCCAAACCTCCAGCCTCTCATTGACGTCGTCTCGTGTCTCATCAATCAGAACTATGTCATCAGCAAATAGCATACACCATGGCACCTCCCCTTGAATATGATGAGTCAATGCATCCATCACAGGGCAAATAGGAATGGGCTGAGCGCAGACCCTTGGTGCAACCCCATAACAACCGAAAAATGCTTTGAGTCGCCTCATACTGTCCTAACCCGAGTCTTTGCTCCATCATACATGTCTTTAATCACCCTAATGTAGGCAGCCGAAACCCCTTTAGCCTCCAAGCAGCTCCATAGAACCTCCCTAGGAACCCTGTCGTATGCTTTCTCCAGATCAATAAACACCATGTGAAGATCCTTCTTCCTATATCTGTATTGTTCCACCATCCTCCTAAGAAGGTGGATAGCTTCTGTGGTAGAACGCCCCGGCATGAACCCGAACTGGTTGTCTGAAATAGACACCGTCCTTCGCACTCTCATTTTTACCACTCTTTCCCAAACTTTCATGGTATGCCTCAGTAATTTGATACCCTATAATTGTTACAACTTTGGATATCACCTTTGTTCTTGTACAACAGAACAATTGTACTCCACCTCTACCCCTTCGACATCCTATTCGTCTCGAATATAACATTAAATAACCCAATCAGCCTTTCCAAGCCTGCTCTACCCACACACCTCCAAAGTCCAACTGGAATTTTCTCAGGCCCGGTTGCTCTGCCCCTACTCATCTTGCGCATTACCTCCATGACCTCCTCGACCTCAATGGGCCTACAATAACTAAAGTCATGGAGACTGTCGGCATTCCTCAATTCACCTAGAGCAATATCCTGATCCCCTTCTTCATTTAGAAGTTTTTGAAAGTAGGTCTGCCACCTCCTCTTAATCTGGTCATCCCCCGTCAAAATTTTGTTGTCCTTATCTTTGATGCACCTCACTTGGTCCAGATCCCGGGCCCTCCTCTCTCTCGCCTTAGTTAGCCGGAATAACATCTTCTCCCCGTTTTTGTCCCCTAGTTCCTCATACAGACGAGCAAAAGCCGCAGTCTTAGCCTCCGAGACTGCCAGCTTCGCCTCCTTCCTTGCTACCTTATATCTTTTACTGTTCGCTCTCCTTTCCTCCTCGCCAGTGCTCCCTACTAATCGCAGGTACGTCGCCTTCGTCGCTTCCACTTTGCCTTGGGCAATTGCATTCCATCACCAGTCTCTTTTGTGTCCACCGGTGCGGCCCAAAGATATCCCTAACACCTTTCTCGCCGCCTTCCTTATAGTCTTATACAGTCTGCCGTCGTCGACCACATAGTGTTTGCATCCCCATTACTCCTCCAAACTCCCATAGCCGATAACCTTCCTTCCAACTCCTGAGCTTTATCCTTAGTCAAGGCGCCCCACCTGATCATCAGACGACCTCTTACTGGCCTATTCTTCCTCCTTATCATAATACCAATGTTCATCACCAGAAGCCTATGCTGCGTTGCGAGGGTCTCACCTGGGATAACCTTGCAATCCTCGCACAACCTTCTGCCACATCTCCTGAGGAAGAGATAATCAATCTGGGTCTTCGCCATCGAACTTTGGAAAGTAACCAAATGCTCCTCCCGCTTCGGGAAACTTGAGTTCTCAATCACCAGCTCGAATGCCTTGGCGAAGTCCAACAGCAAAGTGCCCCCTCTGTTCCGCTCCCCGAAACCAAAGTCGCCATGCACCTCAGTATAACCACCTGCAGACGACCCAATATGACCATTGAAATCTCCTCCTATGAATAACCTCTCGGCAGGCGGAATACTACGCACGATCTCATCCAACCTCTCCCAAAAGCGCCTTTTAATCTCCTCATCCAAGCTTGCTTGCGACGTGTACGTGCTAACGACATTTAAAGTACACTCACCAACCACTAACTTAATACTCATTAATCTATCATTCACCCGCCTAACCTCTACCACAGACTCTCTAAGATGCCTATCTACCAAGATACTCACTCCATTTTTACCCCTCAGGACTCTAGAGTACCACAACTTATACCCATCTGCGTCCTTCGCCCTCGATCCGACCAAGCTAGTCTCCTGAACACACGCTATATTAATCTCCCTCTTCTGGAGGATCTTTGCCAACTCTATAGACTTACTCGTTAGTGAACCTATGTTCCATGACCCGATTCTCAACCCATAGGCTCCCTTTTCCCCTCTACCTCCCTACCTCCCGCCC